TTGTTGCCTGCTTCAACATTGTTTGGATAGGTATGATATTCCTTGAAATTAAGAAGCATATTACATTAAAATTGAACGTGTTTTATTGACGTAATTCGTGTTTCAAAATGGAAAAAAATAAAGTGCATTTTCGGCATATTTTACTTTTTTTATACAAAAAAGGATTAATGGCGGCAGAAGCCAAACGTGAGATATGTGCTGTATACGGAGACAATTCTTTAAGTAAATCAGTATGCCGGAAATGGTTTGCTCGCTTCCGTTCTGGAAATTTTTTGAGCTTGAAGATGCACCTCGCTTCGGGCGGCCATCCAAGATCGACGACGATGAAATCAAAGCGCTAATTGAAAATGATCGACATTTGACGGCAGAGGAAATCGCAAAGACAATGAATATCAGTGCTACATAAGTGAGAGTGCATTTAAAAACAATTCGATACACAAAAAAGCTCGATATTTGGGTGCTCATTGATGAACCGAGTAGACGTTTGTGAATCGCTTCTGAGATGGAACAAATCAGAGTATTTTTTGAAACGTTTAAGTAAAATAGATGTACATACACACTGATTCTAATTTGTTTTTATATAGGGCAGGAAAACTCTACTTTCGGTCCACTTTACGGGCGCCAAAAATGGTCTTTTTTAGCCACGTTATAAAAAAAGACTTTTGGGATTATGTCATTGATTAATTTCATCTCTGCGAAAACGTTTGAGAGAGAAAACGTTTATTACTTACTTTGTCTTTGAAAAACTCCTCCGTTCGTTCTTGTATAGACAAATTCTTCTTCTCTCTGGTCATAATGTAAACGTTGCCAATTTCGGTGCACGTCCTCAGGAGCTTCTCCAAAATGAGGCTGCCGTAGAAACCGGTGCACCCCGTGAGAAATACGTGTTTCCCGGCGTAGAAATTTCGTATCTGACCATCGCTCTTTTTCGAATCGCTCGTCATATTCATTGTTAGAATATCACTTCGGCCTTGGTAGCAACTTTTACCTATACTTCCTCCCTTCGGCAAAATCAATTTCTCTGATCCACCTACGGTGTCTAGGATCGACGCTAGCAAAATGCTAGGCTTCGACACTCGCTCCTTTTATATAAAGCATTCATACGAAATATTGTTGCGTTCCATTTGCAATTTTAATTGTATAAATCGAACTTATTAATTTCAACGTACGAATTTCGGTGGCTTTTACTTCTATTTAACAATTCAATGTCTCATTAACATTGATGCCTTCTTTTTCATATAATCGATATTCTGTAGCATATTAATCGTGTGAATTAATGGAAATTGCGATTTATAACTTCAACTTTAAAACCGGTTATGCATTAAGTGTGTTCATAACTTGGTTGTTACATTTTATTTATGATATGAATTCGATCTCAATCTTAAAGTGAAGAGGTTGGAAGAAAATAACAACGGGAGCAATAAAAATGTGTTTTTTATCAATTACAAAAATAGAATATTTCGTCGTTTGATCTTACGTTCAGGGAAACAGATTCTTTTTCCGAGATCCTAACAATTTATTTCGTATATAAATTTATTGAAATCGACGAGGCATTGAATGAACGTTATAAGCCGGTATTCGTGACACCTCCACACGTGCCAGCTCCAGCATCACAGGATCGTTCTGTTCGTGTGAAGCGACATGTTTCAGGATCTCTTTCTTCTTAACGAAGACCTCGCCGCATCGTTCGCAACGCAACCATTTCGCTTCATGCGTTCTGCCATGCTTGATCATATCGCTCTTCTGCGAAAAGCTTCTACCGCAAGTCCCGCAGACGAACGGTTTCACCCCGGTGTGAACCCGCTCGTGTACGTGTAACGCGCCTCTGCGAGTGAAACTCTTCTCGCATCGCTCGCATTTGTACGGTTTGACGCCCGTGTGCGTCTTCATGTGTTGGCTCAGATTGCTCGAGCATTTGTACTCCATATTGCACACCCCGCAAACGTAGGGACGTTCTCCAGTGTGGATCCTTTCGTGGAGGAGCCTCGCCTCCCTCGAGACAACGGACTCGCCGCAGTATTGACAGACGTGCGGCCGTTCCTTCGAATGTACGGACCTTTTGTGATAAGTCAGTGAACTTTTGCTACCCAGTTTCTTGCCGCAAACGTCGCACTCGACACCCGTCCTGTTCCCCTCGTGCGTGCGCTTGTGATTCATCAAGAGAGATCGCGTTGGAAATACTCGCTCGCAGCTCTCGCACTGCCACACAATTTTGTCCGCGGATTTTCTTCGGATGCTCTCTATTATATCTTGCTGCGTGTGCTCTTTCCGGTGTAACTTCAATTCGCTCATAGACTTACATCTGCGCGTACATACCTGACACGAAAATGATTAAAGTATAATTGCGATCAGCGTCGAACGTCGTCGATTACGGGATACTTACGCTGCACGCGTATGTACCATCACTGTTGTGTCGTTTTAGATGCGTGTTCATGTTCCCCTTGCGATTGAAAGCCGCGCCGCATATCGGGCAGACGTGGTGATTCAGACCGTGAGACAGTTTATGCTGTCTCAGTTGTATCCTTTTGCAGAACGCTTTACTGCATTTTTCGCAAGAGTAAGGCTTAGTGCCGTCGTGCTGGTTCATGTGTTCCCGCAAGTGAAATCTGAATCAAAGATGATTCTAAATTATCCCGAAACTATCTAATCGAATATTTCAATAATTTAGAATTGTATGGTGTTCAGAAGTTCAGCTACCTAGATCGAAACGCGTTCCCGCAAACGTCGCAAACGTGTCGTTTCTTCTGCGAATCGTCTAGGTGCGTCCTCTTATGGCCTCTCAGATTGTTCGAATGTTTGAAACTTTTCCCGCATAAATCGCATAGGTAGGGTTTGTCCACTCTGTGAGTGGCTTCGTGCACGTCCAGGCTAGACCATTTCTCGAAGCTTCGATCGCAATCGATGCATTTGAACAGGAGTCGACCGTCGTGGTATTTCGAAATATGATTCAACAATTCTTTTTTGGTACTATAAAGCGAACCACAGTGGCCACACCTTTTATTCGTTTCCATTAGTACAATGTTATTCGCGTCGTACGCATCTTTATAAATCTTACACGAGTCTCTCGCTACATTACAAATCTCATATTGTTCGTCCTGGTGGAGTTTACAAGAAATTTTATGTTCAACAAATTTTACATCGCTCGATTCTCTCGTACTCGCACGGTTCTCGGTCTTCTCTTTCTTCTGCGCCTCTTCCTCCGTGAATGATATTTCGTGATCTTCGAACGTCTCTCGCCTCTTGAACGTATCATCGCAACGAATGGGATGAATTTCATTGGACATCGTTGCTTCGTTCTCCGGATAACTTTCCGTTTCATTTCCCTCGTCTTGCGATTCCAGCAACTCGTTCAAATTGGGCTGCCCTTCTCTCCTGAGATCGTTCGTAAAGCTGATTTCTTGACTCATAATCCCTTCGACTTTGTCAGAAGACAGTTGTACTGATGTAACGTCAGAGGCTTCTCTCATACACATCTCTTCGGTTATCTCCATGAAATACTTTTTAGCTATTCCACTGTATCTGTGGTCGTAGTTTAACTGTAAATCAGAAGAAGGATTTATGTTGCTAGCATTCAGTACTACTACGAGATTGAACTTGACTCATTCAAACTCTTACCTCTTCGTTAATGTTCATGAATCTTTTCAATCTCATGTCTGTTTTTAAAGAAGCCACGACCAGTGAATGAACGATTTCCAATTTGTTGTAACAGTTCAGACATAATTTCAATGGCATTAAATCCTCCATGTCAACCTTGATTGGGAGATGCAGATTGATCTTTTCTTTCAGCTTCAGTTTCATTCCCTTAGGTGAAAATATTTCTATGCTGTCTGAGCTCGATTCTCCACAGATTCTACACAAATCCGAGAACTTCATACTGATATCACGATACTGATCGATTTCGATGTCCATATCGCAGTACGAGAGTACAACGTTCTCAGCTGATTCTATCTGTTCGTCTCTGTCGAAGACACTTCTTGTTCTCTTCCCAGGGATCGAATTAGATTGGAACAAAGTTGGAATTGCGTTCTGGTCTATTATCACTGGGTCAGTTTTACTTACGTAATAACGATCCTCTATGTGATGCGAACATACGTGATAATTTGAATGCAGCTCCTCGTTCGATTTCATTAATAGATCTTCCCTACCGCAATGATGCGCCCAGATCTTCGAGCTGTAAAAATGAAGAACTACGTAGACATTCATACATTATTTTAATCAATGTTCAACGTGTAACTCGATTTACACTGACCTGTCATCGTTCGGGAAGTTGATAAATGTTACGTCTGTCGAATCTTCGATTTCCGAAGAATATTTACAAATCCTCGCAGCGCACACCGTCTTCATGCTGGATCGTTCGATTTATGCGATCGAATTCGATGCACGAATGTTCACTTTATCTTTTGTGTCAGGTGTAGGCGCACAGTGAAGTGCATAACAGGCAGTAGTATCAGAGAGTATAACCTGTCACTCTGGTCAACACGAAGAAAATTATCAAGTTCTACTGCACAGATTTCGATGAAATTCAAATGTTCAGAGATTTCAATTAAAGCCAAAACTGCCAGACACACGAATAGACTATTTAAAAAAAGATAAAATCGTTATTTAAAATATTTTATCGAGTCTGTACAAAGAAAACTGTCACGCGAAATCACTGGCATTAATTAAAACCTAATTTACACTTTTACTGCAGTAAGTTTAATGAAACGCCATTCATATCAGTCACAGATTTCAGGAATATAAATTTTATTTTTTACAATATTCTAAAGTCATTCCTCTTCAAAATGTTTCGTCCATGCGTCGAGTCAGATGCGCCGGGTGCGCGATAGTCTTATCGAGAGTGGAGGGAAAATTTATTATCAAAACTGTAAACGATTATTTATTGGCACGTTCATTCTAATTTTCATTTATGGGGTTTATCCAAATTTTCGGGAGCTCTAGGGTTAATTTAAGTGTTGTTTCATTTTAATCCGTTCAGCTGAAGCTGAAATATATATATTTTTCTCAGAGCGTGAGGTGTTGTGAATTTCTGCGCGGTGGCCACTGGTGGCTACCAAGGGGAGCCACGTGACTTCGATCAGTTCGATCACGTGAGCGATACGTCCACTTCCGCTCACCGGGCACTTGCTTTTAACGTTTGTCACTTTTGTTTTAGTTAAGAACAAAAAGTGGTTACGTCTAACATAAGTTAGGAAAGAAGAAGCACATATTCAAGAAACGAAGAGGATCAAAGTTCAGGACATCTAATTCATCCACTATTTATCCAGCATCGCATAGGGATCAGTGGTTTGATCCCACCGTACAGACGGCCGAGAGAACAGGTGAATAAGTTTCCGTTTTACAAAATCTCTTTTTTATTGATGCTTCGACAACATGGGCTGAGACACACACATTTGCTCATATGAACTTATATACCACTGCGTGTTCCAAACATATACATACACAATTCGTTAAAATTATTGCATCGCGCGGCACTAGACGTAACAAACGGTTTTACAACTTAGAATCGTGTTTTGTATCGTTCTCGAGGGCCTTAATCGTACAGAAACGGGTTCTTCGTCAGCGGATCGACTCGGTAAAACAAGCGGTGACAACGCGGTGCGCTCGTTCAATCTCCGTTAAAACCATGGTCCTCCCTTTTGTCAATTCGCTGCGATAAAAATCTGCTTACTCCAGTCGATTAAAAACGTAATCAACGAAAACTGTCGATGAGAAGGCTCGCGTAACATGAATCGTTACAAGTTAGTCGCTTAATTATGAGGGATATGTTTGTTGAGGGCAATTCTTATGCACCGGCAATGGCTCCGAGGGACGAGGTGTCCCTTTCTCGTTTCGTATGAGAAAATACGACGATAGAAAAATGTTTTAAACCTAAGCGTACGCATTTATATTCCGATAGCACGATTCCAACTAAACGATTCAACGATGTGTCCACCGTGCGCAATGGCGTGATACCTTCAGATTCGATAAGCTCCTTCGCATAATCGATCGTCGTCAAACCTGATCCACACCGATAGTAAAATTTCATATCCGAAGTGAGAGAGCGATAGAATCTTTTCTTTCTGACATCAAACGTTGCGTTCGCGACGTGTGCTCAACGCTTCTCTCTCTCTCTCTCTCTCCTTTCCTTCGTTTCGCATTTTCGCTTGCAACGTCGACGTATGAAAAAATCATTTCCGACATTCCATATGCATACATACATGCATACACACGCTTACGTATATGTATATACATATATATTCAAGGAGATTCACATGGGTCGCAAGAATAGGTTGACAGGATAGACTCTTCTAATAGACTTTGCAGACGGACATAATAGAAATATTTAATATATAGCATCATATATTAATATAATATTTAGTAATAATATAATATCTATTATATATTAATATGTATATGATAGTTTTTTTTGTTCTGTTTTTAATAATAGCGTCCTTTCCTCTTCTTATCTCGCTATTTGTTTCAAGTGTGATATCCAGCGATTTCCTATTTCTTTCTTTCGAATTTCGGTACGACGTGAATACGACGTTTTCACTTCGGCCTTACGTTTAAATCCTCAAGCATTTTGTACGACCTGTTGACTCGCGCGATCGTTCCTCTGGTCGTCTCACGATGCATCGTCGTAGAAACAAAATAAAAACATTTCGTGTAAGGATTCTACGTGTCGATCGAAACGTTGTTTGAACGAAAGTAAACGCAGAACAGGAGTTCGACTGGCTTCCAATAAACAAAATCAATCCCAGAGCGCGTGATGCTCGAACGGTGAAATAAAAATCCGAGTTACGCTTGGGCCGTGTGCAAATTGTCCAGGAACCTTGTTCCCAAGCGTGAACGCACGATGGGGAACGAAAACTGAAACGCGATCGCGGTTTCTACGCATCGAGAGAAAGTCGACTTGGTGTCGCGGGTCATTTTGTACAGAAGGAAGTTTATACAATGTTTCTCGGACTTCACTGTTAGACACACACACACACACACTGACGTTTTTAAAAATTGTGCAGAGCATTTCAAGGTGGGACAAAAAAAGAGAACCAGGAACACCCGACCCTCGGGCATTATTCAATTTTCGAAGAAAAACGTTCTGGCATGGTTCCCAGCTTCTGTTCCGCGGTGAACATTGCGCGAGGGTCGGCAAGTAGGAAGCGTGTAGAAAAGAAAGGGTGTATCCTCGATAGATGCGGGCTGAAATATTTGTTTCGACCCGCGTGCGTCACTTTACATCGCTAGACTTCATGAATAATCGTTTATTATTAAATATTATACTTCTTCTACGTTGCTACCATTCATCTTTGATATCTCATCGCGTCCACCCACCGCCTCCACCGTTATTTATATAATTTCAAGAAAATAACATTTAATTCATACAAAATTGACTACAGCCGATTGCTTTTATGATGTGTTCCGGTTTCATTTTATTTCGTCTAAACGATTCCCGTGCAGAACCGAGAAATCAAAGCACGTGCCGTTACACCCATCTGTCCCTTGTCCACCATTTTTCTTCCGTTTCCGCGTTCTTCGTTTTTTAAAGATATGACGTGTATACGTATTGACCTGAATGATTGATTCCGACCGGCTCTTTTACTTCCGACCCACTCGACACGACACTTTCCGTGAATCATTCATCGGAAGGAATTTCATATCACCAAAAATTCGTGAAGAGAATATCGTTACGCGTTCGTAAAAACGACGTTCGATCTAGAAAACCATTTCACGCGCGCTATCGAATCACATGAAACCGAGGGTCGACGGGAGTCTGCTGGTTTTTTAAGACCAGCTCGGGGATACGGGATCGTTCGGTAGGATCGATGAACCGTAATTCGTTACCCGAGATAGAAAAACGACGTTCTGAAGATTTACCGCGGCAAACATGGTTCAAAATTTCCGAGTGGATCGATCCCGATTTCAATTCGCGATTTAAACTGGCGGCGTCGAATGGGTCAACGTCGGGTCCGTTCGTTCAGTTGGAAATCTTGTCGGATTAAGAAAATATGCGGGGACATCTTGGTAACTAAGTTCCCTACAATTTATACAGACATTCAATCGTTAGGGCGTGTGCAGCTCGGTGCTTTTTAAAGCGGAAATCGTCGAGGAGCGTACACTGCCAGCTGCGGAAGTACCTTACGAAGCATATAGTGATTCTCGTAAATACGAGTGCGAGATCCTCCGTCTGTGCACGATCCTCCTTCGTACATCGCGTGCGTCGCTACGCGAAACCGGCGAGGATCTTGAAAAAGCGGGCATGTGCGAAGAAAGCATTTGTGCTTTCCATCGTCGGTTCTATTCCGATGTTCGATGTTAAACGTATTTCGACGGCGAGATCTCTGATTTAACGGAGCGTACTAGCGATGGAAAGAATGGTAACTATTGAATACGTTCCTCGTGCACTGTGCGTTCCAATTTTCAAGAAACTCGCATTCGCGCATAGGGTGTTCATTGCTTTTGGTCCTTCTTGTACCTTTCATAATTGATACAGCGTTCTGCTCTCTGTATATCTAAGATTCCGTCGCTGCGCGGACGGTAAACGGAGCGTTGCCACGAAACTCGACGGTCGCGTGGGGTACCGCCGACGGAAAGAGATCGCGGGAAACCTTAGTTAGATAGAACGTACGTATAGATTCTGAGAGGTGTCACGTGAAACTGGCTGGACGTATTTAAAGGTGCCTTGACATTTCGTTCGCTCTATGGTTCCTTGTCGTCGGGAGATCGAAACTGACAATGCCTCGCAATCGAGAAGGTTCTCGCGTGACGTCCGGTCAGGAGAGGTTAATAAAAATTGACGCGAAGGGGTTGCGCTCTTCCATGTTCTCTTTCTTCTATCGTATCTCCTTTTTTCTCTTTAATCTTATTAGGCCGCGAGACGAGCTCTTGATCTGGCCGAAGACAATCGCGGCCGTAACTAGACGCACACGTTCCCCTCGAGTGACAACTTCCGCGAAACGCGACGCGCGACGGGAACGGCGATTCTTGCAGGAACTCAGAATTCGTATCGATTCTGACGAAATCTACCTCGTCGTTCGATTCGCGTGTCCTCGTTTTCTGCTTTTTCACCGTGAGTGAATCGTCGAGTGCACGCAGCCAGGAAGTTGTCACCGAACGGAAATACGTATCATGAGGCGACTAACAGATCTCCGAATTATCCTTTCGTTAATATGTACAGTATATAAGCTGCTCTACCGTTACTCGATCTCACGCAACCAAGCCCTCCTTCGTTCACCTCTTTCTTTTTTTTTACGTTTCTCTCTCGCCAGACGTTTTTTCCTTGTTCGTTCTCTCGTTGATGAGTCTGTACAAAAATGATGATCGGTTCTCGTATAAATCGTTCACGTGATCAGCGTTCAAGGCATACGCACACCACCTCCTCGTCGGTTCGCCTTGAACGCTGTGCAACGACCTCGACGTCCGTCTGGCTTCGCCAGACCGTTATCTCGTTATTAATTTCCATTATCCTAAGAGCAGGCCCGTACCGCGGGCCTGACCATCTAATGTTGGACGGCACGGACCTTCTTTCAGGGTATACACGAGTGCGTGTTGGTGGCCTGACCAGGCGACGACAACGCGACGGAGAAGTCCGAGTCGAGGACCAGGTCACTGATACAGCCCACGATACCCTTCGCGTATCTCCCACCCGTTGTCCTCACGACGTCCGGTGCTCCACCTGGAATCAGATCAAACGAGACTTCGTTTCGACGAGAGCTTCCCTGATGCAGTCGTTCAGACATGAATTTAAGACGAGTTCATTTTGTATCAATGTGATCGTGAATTTGGCAAGCCGATGGAACAGTCCGAGGGTTTTATATTCCACTGTTAATCGGATGGAACGTGACTGGTAAACACGGTGTGTTCGACGAGCCGAAGCGCGGCTCCATAAATTTTCCGAGAGTGCAGCAATGCATCAACCTGTTTCTTTACGAGTTTAACGGTTCAGCGAAAGTTCCCGGGAATCCTCCTGTATCTCGTCTATGACCCACTTGGTAATTTTAGGTAATAATTCAAATAGGTAAACGCGACCAAAGTTCTTTCTACCGTGGCTCTCGCTACCTTCGATGTCGAGAATTTCATGGTGACGTACGTGTGTATCATCGGAATAATAGAGTATACGTAGAATTCGTAAGTGCGATTAGGCGTTTGTTAGAATTACTCACCGACATAGAGGCCCGTGTCGGTGTTCAGCTGCCTGAGCTGGCCGGGCGACGAGGCGGAGACGCCGGTTCCGTTGTCGACGACCAGTGACGCCCACTGTTCGTTTCTGAACAAGAAAGAAGTTCAATTCCTAAGAGTAACTCGATTACCAACTTTTTTCAACGAATTAAAAAGCTCATCGATTCGAAGGCTAGATAGGGAAGTTCTCGAACTTACCTCACCGCTCGTACCCGGTGCCATAGATCATCGTCCAGTCTCGTTAGATTGTACCGTAGCACGGCCTCGCCGGATCCCAGGTTATAAGCCAGAGTCAGATAACCGTGGTCCAAGCCGAGAGCTAGGAAATCGTCGTTCTCGTCTCTTTGTTCTTGCGGGTCCGCTTGCCGTCCGCTCCAGAGCAGAAGCCCGCTGCTGCTGCTCGCGCGGAATCTCATATTGATGTCCACCCGGTAGCTTATTATCCTGTATAACAAACGGATTTGCGTTGAGATGGATGGAACAGGGGGACGGGGGATCACTTCTTGGGGGATTGAAGAGAGATTAAAGTGAAGCTGAAGAGATTCCGTTGTTCTCGATTAAAATATTATGTTGTGTGACGTAGTCGCGTTCGAGCGTTTAAAAATAATTCTCCTACTATTGGTCGATTAAATCGATGAACGGAGCTTATCGACGTTTGCATACCTTTTCATCGTGTCAGCGTCGTTGTAATGCAGATAGCTCTCGCTCCCAGAGAAGCTCGGCACAGACCTTTCGTATCGCGTGCCACTAGCGTTCGGTTTGTTCGTGCTGTCCAGAATCGTGTTGTCGTCTGGCGCCGGACACGGGTGCGGCATTCCGGGTCGACAGCGACACGTAAATCGGTCTCGAAGCGGACGGCACTCCGCGTCTCCGCAAGGCCTCGCCTCGCACGCGTGTCCGCAGTTGCCCACGTTCACCCCGCCCAATGCCTCCGCGAGAATTCCGATCTGTGCGACGTAATTCTCTTTGTTAATAGCCATTAACGCGCTTAGACGCGTTTCGAGCGATTAACGACGGTCGGATCTATGAGAGTCCCGTGATTCAAGAAGTAAACGCGCCGATCGGCGTTAGACCGATTCGAGAAGATCTGTACTGCATTTTCACGTCGTACGCTTCAATTCCGATGAATTCGTTGAGAGACAAAGATTGCAAATACGATATGAATTATTGGTGATAGACTCGTACTACTCGTCGGATCGTGACTTTGGCTACTGTATTTTGCGAACGAGCGTGTACTACTCGCTTCGTCAGATCGATCATACTATATACACGCTTGCCGAACTAGCACCGACCTCGTTCACTAACTAGTTTGACTCAACTTTTTTCTACCGCTTGCCCGATCAGTCTTCTTCCATCGGCTACCTTTCTCGGTCGCTCGACTCAATCAAATTATCGAATACGACCTATTATATTCAATCCTCGCGTCTCTCCTCTATCGTGCACGTTGTTTAATTAAAAAGATCTGAATTGTAATTATCGTAAGAGCGTTACGATCTGATCCCGAAGGTCGATTACCTCGCGTCGATTAAGGATGACCGTCTGGATGCATCCCACGAAGCTCGCGGTCGTTTTCATCTTCGGCGAGTACATGTCGGTGGACGGAGCGCCTCCCAAGTAGAGGTTCAACGGCAGGGACAGTTGCGTGAAAGCTCCCGGCGCCAGGATCTCCTGCGCCGGGTCGTCCTCGACCTCGAGCGAGGCCAAACGTCCGGTCCTCGACACCCGCACCTCCACCCATTCGCCCAGCCTCACGGGGCTCTCGCTCCTTAAATTAAATGCAAACTCGCGTGAAACATGCGTCTCGTTTATGCACCAACTCCTTGTGCCGTGATTTACGAGCTACTTCATGCGAAATTTTCAGTGATTAAATAAATTCCATGGTACGACTGGTAAAAAAGGATCGACGTACGGTCGCGTAGACGAATTTAACGAGAACAGTTGTAGGATCGTAAGAAATGTTCTGATAAAGAGTAGAAGGATTTCCGGCTTTGGTACTTACGGCAGAGCTTAACGGGCCCTTATAATGAAACCGGGACGCATAGATCTATGGGGGAAAAGGAGAAGGGCAATGGAGTTCCAGTGGCGTGATTCCGGCGCCGTGAATCGAGTTTGCTCACGGATAATATTCCGCCGCACGAAGCAGGGAACGGAAAAGTCGTCTATTGAACGAGTCGGGGCCGGGGAAACTTTCTTCCTCGGGGAAGAAAAATCGAATGTTGCGTGTTCCCTTGATGTGTACCTACAGACTTTAAAGGGTGTGGTCGATGATGGATGTGAATTTTTATACGTATCAACAGTTTTTAATTATTTTCAGACCGCATGAGTTAGTCGATGAGTTGAACCTGACGAGCAAAGTTAATACGGTCATTCGTATAATTATTACTTCGAACTTTACTTTCGACGAGTGATAAGAAAGTTGAATTCGAGATTCTCGTATTCAGAATTTTCATTCACCGGCGGCGATGTCGAGGATTACAGAGTTGTAAGGGGTGAAAAATAAGGGTGGTTCCAGGAACAGAGTTTGCATAGGGTCATTATTTCGTCGGGACGGAAGGCCGCTGGGAAGATCGGTCGGATAAAAAGATTGTTTATCGAACGGTTTCATAAAGCGGGCAAACAGAGGCTCGAGCCAGCGGCATGTAAAACGGAGGGACCGTTTGACTTGGTCGAAAATAAAAGCACGTCGCCGCCGGTTAAATGAATCGAGATTAATTAACAGGGAAATATTTTTCCGACTGGCGGCTGTTATGTCCGGCCGTTGCAACGAGAAATCGTCACGCGGGTCATCGTTATAAATCGTAAATTTAATTGTCGAAATCCTTCCCTGGTAACTAGCTGCCCGAACTCCGTCACTGTTATTCGCAATGTGATTTTTATTGGACCAATTGTCTCGTTACGGGTTGCGGGTTTTAATTAAAGGAACAACTATTAACTGGCTAGCAGTAAAAACGGCTCTTTTTTTAACATTTTTTCGCGCGGAGTAATGAGAAATTCCTTTCGAATTCACTGCAATTTCAATGGAAAATTAAAGGACCAACGAATTCAGCTTCAAATTATAAAAGTAAAATACGTTACTGGTTAATTATGGAGTCGAGTGAACATGATGAATCACGAAGCGTTTTAAATCCTTTCGTCTGGAGGGGGTTAATTTCGGTAATGGCACACCGAAATAACAACGGGAAAACAGTAAAAATGCGAAGCTGACCGCGAGCCGATTAGAATCTCTGATCGGATGGGGCGTTGATTTTCGATGAGTCATGAATATTCAGACGGTTTAATTCGCGATGAGACCGGATCGACACGGATACATCGTTACCCGGCGACGGGACGGATTAAACGATCGGTCGGTCGATTCTGTCGATACCGACACACACACTGAGCACGCAAAGAGATCCAGCGACCATACACTTTTTTGTGGCTCCATAAAACTATGAGAAAGAATCTGAAAAATACGAAAGTAGATACCGGAAACGAGAACTCATACGAATCGAGACGAGGGCAAATAAAAATGATTTATCGGGGACTAACTTGAATTCGCTTCCTCGAAGCCCTGTTACAACTTCACCTGGAAATCAAGCCGGTGCATCTAACGAATTAAAACGCGCTTGCCCCGTCCAATCAAGCGGGAACGAGAGGCACCCATAACCGAGCAACCTCGCTTCCCCCTTTTCACCTCGTGCGCTACTTCCCGATAAAATTACGATATCCGTTGGGGTCAGCATGCAAACGACTTAATTAGACGCGCCACGAATTGAAAAGAGTCGCGCAGGAAATTGAAAAGCTACCGACTCGTATACGTCGCAGCACGATCTCAGATGCATCGTAAAAAAATTGTGTCGAGTGTCTTTACGGCTTCAAGTGTTCACCAACTATCTAATCAACGATATTTCGTTGGCCAATCAAATTACGAACTGACCTGTGAATTTCCATGCGGTGCAAATAGAATTTGTCTTCGATGAAAAACCGACTTACCTGAGGGTGGCTGGTCCAGTGCCCAGGTCAAACGTGAACTGCACGTGTCCCGACGACAGGTACAACGCAACGAAGTCGCCGGTCGCGTCGCTGTGATGGCCATTGTAAAGAATAACCCCGTCTGTAGCTGTCGGTTTCAACGTGACTGACAACTCGAGCCAGGACAGCGAGGTGTCAGCCAATCCTGGATAACGCAGATAAGAGGAACCGTTGAACGACGGTACCTGCAACCGAGGCGATTCGTTCCTTAGCTGAGGAAATCTGATCTCTTCCTTATTTGCTAGGAAGAATAAGAAGGTCAGTAACCGGGAACCGGGATAAAGATAAGAACGGTTGTGATTTACGGCACGGGGAAAAGTCGGTTTTTAAACCGAGATAAAAAAGCGGAGTTTAAAGAAACTTTTCGAGTGTACCTTCGAGCAAGTGTATGCCGAGAATAATAACGGTAGCGCAAAGTCGACGAACGAGAGTAAAGGGCAGAAAGAAAATTGAAGATTCCCAAAGGGAAATTGTGGAAAAAGATGAAAAGCGTGGTAACGGAAGGGAGAGAGTATCGATTTAATGCTCGTTGGTACCCGATGACATTAAAATTATTCGGCAAGTGTACTGGAAGTAATTCCAGCTGACGAGCCGATATCAATTTTATCAGCCGCGCTTCCTGCGTGCTTTAAATGCTTCCGTAATTGTTAGAATCGATATCGTGTACGGGTGGTGGATTTAACGTTTGCCCGACGAACTTCTACTTCACTCGCAGGTATACTGCACCTTTGAAATTTATAGTCGGCAATGAATTGCGAAATAATTGTATACGAAATTTCGAACCGAGACACCGCGTAAAAGAACGATCGAACGTCTCTTACTATTCTTCGTTCCTCTCGCGAATTTGCTTATCCAATGCAAGATTTACCGTTGACGTAGAATTGGAAGCTCGATCAAAGCCTCTCGTGAAAATTAAACGAGCGGTGATAGTCAAAGGGTAAAACTCTGTTCGGTAATTCAACGATGGGGAACCGGAATTAACAAACATCCATCGAATCTGAAACTCCTATTCTCCCCATTTTAATTGCAATAGAATTTTCTGAGAGTTATCGCTCAAAAGCGTCCGGGCCACGGTGCAAACCGCAGCTTTGCGCCGTGATAAAGGATTGAACGTAAGGTAGACGGGAGAGGTGACGGGGTGGAAGATTTAATTAATTTCGAGCGTTTCGGCCGGGTTTCAAGTCGCAAAACGATTAATCGTTCGTGGTGCTTTGACATCGAAATTAAGAGGTAAACTAGTTACAATTTCCAACGTTGTAATTCAATATTGTTGCTTTGACATTGTCCCGGTACCAATCGTCAAGTTGTTCAAAATTACATATTTCTTATAATTAGTCAGCCTGGATTTACCCCATGTCTATTTCCAATATCGGCTTTAACGTTTAATAACGATCAATAGATTCAGTAATCGACGCAACGTACGCATGTACGAACTTCCTTTATGAACACGTATAAAAATGTGAGAAACTCTAATGGCGATAAAATTGGCACTGAAAGGAAACCTCGATGAGTCCTCTGTTCGATTTAAAATCTCTACTAAGCTCGAGGTAATCCATCACCATCGAGGTTCATTACACTCGGGAATATATTTACCTGTAGATCTACTCTGGTCTCGCAGAGATCGCCGGTGTATCCGAGGGGACAGAGGCAGACGGCAGTGTCTCCGCCCGTGGTCAAGCATTTCCCACCGTGGGAGCAGGGAACCTTGCTGCATCGGTCCGCCGTGCACTCCTCTGTGAACGAAAAGGTACGACGAATTAATTAACTACGATGTTTGATATTGAACGAGCATGAAATTTAGTAGTCTATGTGAAACGTAGACTACGTAACGAGTTTTTTTTTTTACAAAGAACATGTGTATCCAACGTGGTTCATCCAAATTATACCGATGAAACATCGTAGATCGAGACTGTAAAAAAGATATTTGACCATGAAACGCGTTAATCTCGACGAATTCGTTTTCGTAAAGGATGGACGTAATCGAATTTGCATGACTCAAGTGTCGGAGAATAAGATTGGGAAACGTTCTGATGAAACGCGATAAGAGCCTCAACAGGTATTCTTAAACTGGCATTACTCGGTGCTCATCTCGAAATAATCTTTACACTATCGCGCTCGTCGATAAAATGTCGGTGTAAATATTTGATGAAAATAGAGAGGGTGGGCGGTGGGTGGTTTCATTTTCTCATCGTTCCACTCGGCTCCTATCTATCTACGGTGGTAGGCACCGGAAACTGGTGAGATGTCTGCGAAATTATCTTCCGCCGCGCTCGTTCAACTCTATCGGAAATTTCTGACGAACGAAAGAGGGTTCCCTCCCCTCGTCTCTCATTTTTCCTATTGGCGAACGCCCGGGTCGCCTCTTGAAAAATCGATGCGATGCTTGTCGATTTTTCGATCGGCGAAACCGTGAAAACTTGATAACGCGCGCGCGCGCGCTCTCTCTCTCTCTCTCGGTGATATCGCTGTGAGGTTCGTTGCAATTTTTGCTCGTTTCTATTCTGACGCAGCTTCGATATTCATCTCCATAAATACGTTTCAAACAAGAAAACGTCTGGCTATCGATCTTAAACAATTTTTATTGCATACGAAATTTGGAAAACATTTTCATTGATTCATCATCTCCATACACGTACAATTAAACAGCGACGTCGCTCGTATCATCAGGGATCAGAGTACCTCTGATCATTTATTTTATACCCATCGTAGATGCATGAAATTTTACACGAGAACGTGAACCCGGGAGATCAAAGGAAGAGGGCACAAAGCGCGACAGCAAGAAATTAGAACGCATGAAAGTCGACATGGAAATTACGAGACCGGTCACCGTGAGATCTTTTTTCCAAAATCGTGAAATTTCCTGGTTTTAATGTGCAAGCTAAAAGAGGCAACTCCCGTTCGACGGCACGTACATGCACTGTGTATGTATTCAGGAAGAGCAGTCGAGAGACGTCGAACGCGCAACGATGCGGAAACGATTACTTTCGGCTCGATTTCTTAGAAATTGAAGTTAAGTCTCCTGCCGTACCACCCTTCTCGGTGCGTCCCATAGGACTTCTCTTTTCCTACGGCGGATCGATAGATCGGCGCATACTAAATGCGTTTTCCAGTTTTACATACTCTACACGAGTCGTTCGATCACTATAATTCCTATAAGAAGACCTGATAACTGTTTGCCATCATATTTTATTACGGGGGACAATTGATCGATTTTAATGGAGTATTAATATTGACAACGATCTACACGACTTCTGATTAATGAAAGACATGCAGTATCGAAGAAAAAACCCGCTTATACCAAAATTGTAGAGATGATTTAGCGACGGCACGAGAGGACGGAACTCCTTTTGTCTCCCGCTTGATAATGGGAACTCGCGACTTCCTGCCTCGTCCGGTCGATGAATGCCGCGACTCGCGACTATCGATGACGGAAATATCGACGAGGGATTCCTCGCAAGAGGAAACAGACATTTCTGTTTCTATATCGTTTCCTTCGTCACAGTTCTCACAGGCGTTCCGTCACGTTTTACTCGGCTCGAACAATGACACTTTATATCGTATCGAATTTCTCATATTCAAGCGATTACGCAAGTACGAGAGATGACAATGGAACAGAGAAATCAGTTTCTAACAGCTAATTACAATTTTTACAATTGACTTAATTCGAATTTCTTCATCCTCGCAATACATCCACTAATTTGATTAACTGAATGATTAATAAGTAATCGTAGAACTTTTAGTTTTCTAGCCACCGTCGATCGGATTAAAAATGTAAGAGAAAGAACGTAGGTCCGTTTAAAATTTCACGCGCGTTCCAGCTACTGTCACTACCAATTTCCAAAGTTGTTCACTAATGCATGGGAAATTTAGGTAAGGGAAAAGCAAATTGAGAAATTGTAGATTCGACTTCGGAGCGAGGCCGCTAAAAATCGTGTCGGCCCGTAATCTTCTCGTCCACCATAGATACTAGTCACGTATTCACTGTTTCTTTTTACAACCGCAATTCCTCCGTTCGAGATTATATTTCGGTTCATGTATCGCCAGGTAATTCGATTAATTGACCGCGAAACGAGTTCGGCCCAGCGGAGACTCTCGTCTTTATGGTATCACGTAATTGGTTTTATATCTCCTCCACGACGCTGTTCATCGTACTTCTACTTGGTTTTAACACCAGCTTCCCCGGCACCTTCCATGTTCTTGCAAATTCTCGATAATCTGCTGTTACATTATGTTTCAACAAACGGTACATTGGAGATAAAACGGGCGTGGCATCTTCGACGAATGGGGCAACTTCCACATTTAATCGAATATCGTACAAGTGATTTCGTTCTGAAACGCGTCCGAATATTAACGCGAGTCGGTTTAAGGATGTATTGGCTATATAGTCAATCCCAAAAGTTTATGTACCTTAGAAAAATGTATTTCCTATAATTAAAAAGAAATTAGACGTCG